CTGCTTGCTGTTAGGTAGGGGCATTAGCTGGCGGTGGGCTCAGACTCTCACAGCGTCACACTATTAGCAGCAAGGACCGTCCTGTCTTTTGCCCTTGTTCTAACCAGTCTGTTTGCTTAAGTCTTAAACGTGCAATATGGAAGTGATCAAAACAGTGGTAAACTATGATAATGCAATCAAATTGGGCTTGTTCAGCCTGGAGAAGAGGAGTCTCCGAGGAGACCTCATTGCAGCTTTCCAGTGTCTGAAGGGGCTACAAGGGTGCTGGGAGAGGACTTTTTACAAGGGCCTGTAGTGACAGGACAAGGGGTAATGGGTATAAATTGAAATCAGGGAGGTTTAGATTAGATATCAGGAAGAAATTCTTCACAGAGAGGGTGGGGAGGCACTGGAACAGGTTGCCCAGAGAAGCTGTGGATGCCCCATCCCTGGGAGTGTCCAAGGCCAGGCTGGATGAGGCTTGGAGCAACCTGGTCTAGTGGGAGGTGTCCCTGCGCATGGCAGGGGGGTTGGGACTAGATGATCTTTAAGGTCCCTTCCAACCCAAACCATTCTGTGATTCTATGATTCTAAATGACCTCTATTCAGCTTCCAGTAGGATGATGAGTTAGCGTGAGGATGAGAGTATCACCAACTCCAGCATATGTTGCCTACTTGGGATGAAGTCCTGCCTTTCCCTTACCCTACTCTCTCTTCCAGGCCTTCTCCGTGGGCCTGTTCATTAGCCTTGCAGAAAGCCAGTGGGGAAAACAGTGTGTCTTGCTTTTTTCTGCAAGGTTAGTGAGGTGAACTGGGTATGGAGGTGTCTGATGAATGCAAGGGCTATAGGGTGGAGGTTGAACCATATGGCTAAAACCAGGAATTGCACAGCCAGGACAGGAGAGTTAGAAAGAAGAAAAAAGGAATTAGAGTTGGAAAGGGGGAAAAAGTCTTGCCTGTTCAGTGGAGGGAATATATTTGATCAGTTCAGCTGACTGGACCTGCTCTCTCTCTGTTTAGCTTTAATTATTTCTGCTTCCACTCTCCCATCGTTTAGTCAGTCTCTTCTAATTAGTAAACCCTTCACAGTAGGGATTGTGCATAATCTTGTGGGAGGACTCAGAGATACTGCAGGAACACTACAACGAAATAGTAATTCCAGTAAGTCCAGCTCAGCTCGTAGAAGTGATGGCCTCTCTTGGTTTAAAGACAGAAGACAGTTTTTCTAGGTTAACTTGCACCTTGCAGAATGAGCAGAACCAAGAAGTACAGAGCTCCCTGACTTGTGAATCAGAAGCTGGGTGTAAATTGGAGCAATGGCTGTTCCATGTATTTCAGTAGGGTAGAAGTAAGGCCGGGGTAGGGTAGAGTTAGAGGTCCCTTGAGTTTATGATGTTGTAATCTTTGCCTCCTCCCAGATTTAAGCTAATTGGATTTTTTTTTTCTAGTTCCTTCCCATGCTTTTGTAAATTAAATGTTAATGACCTGTCACAACAGTCAGTGCCATCGTACAGGCTGTCGAGCTGTGTGCCTTTGAGCTTAACCCATCCCACACATCGCACAAGCCTTTGCTTGCTGGGAAGCGTGTGCTGCTGGTGCTAGACGTGGCAGATGGGGCATAACGTAAGTAATCCCACTCCATACGGACAGCGACCGAAACGGTGCCTTTGGACACATACCAAAGTCCAGTGAGGCTGACAATGAGGTTGAGGTTCTAAGTCAGTGAGGTTGACTTCGGTCTTCGTGTGGTTTCACGTTAGATAAGATTCGTGGCATCCTTCCTGGTGAAGGGGTAGCAGGGGCTGAATTCTGGCAGCTGAGGTAACATCTGGCTTGGAGGGTAAGAGCTGCCGATGGCAGAGGGCCACGTAAGGCCTCGTGGAAACCCAGCCTAGCTAGTTCTGCTTGGGCATGGAGACAACCCCCAGCCAAAACTGAAGCTACTTCCCTCATCAAACACATGTTACTGAAGAATAAAATTTAAACAAAAAAAACCCCGAACCCTCATTGTGGAAGACATCATAATTACAGATAACAGATTTATTTTCATGGAAGAATTATTCAAGGATCGTGACAAAGAAAATAAGCCAGCTTGAGGATGGTGGAAGACGTTACACTGGAAACATCAGTATTAATATAGCGAATTGTGGAAAACATGACATTAGATAAGGTGCTTGATTTTCAGTCATATCAGCAGCAGCAATGACAAAACAGCAGAACTTAAGGCATTAAAATTGAAGAGGAAATACATTTAGTCTTTTTTTTTTTTTTTCCTGAAGAACAACCTATTTGTCAAGCCCTCGGGCTCTTCCATAGCACGGAGTTGTGCGTGTATTAAAAAAGAGAAGCAGGGACTGTGTGCTCTCGTTGAAACTTAACACTGACAAAGAGGCAAGTGGGTCTAAAATCTAAAATATCTGCAGCACAGACAGGCAGTGGTTGCATGCATGTTTTATGCAGTGGTCCTCTCATTTTAGTAATCTATCAAACGTTAGCGCAGACACGGATGTGTCAGGATCCCATGCAACTGGTGTGCGGCTCTTCCTCGCCACTGACAGCACTGCTACAACAGGATCAGGCAGTAATTCCCACGACTGTCAAAAGAACTAAAATCCATGGGAATGCAAGCTGGGCTGTCCCTGGGAACCTCACTTTGAGAGACTCTCAGTTTAAATTCTGTGTGTCTGAAATGATATATACTCTACTTGCATATTTTTTTGGACTGAGAGGGATCAATATATAAACTTCTGGGGAAAAAAAAAAGTAATAAAATCTTCTCTATATAAATATTTATCTATAAAGTTGCTTTATCCATAGAAAATTAGGATCTAGATTCTTCATTTTCTTGGAACATAAAGTGAGAATGCCCTGCGTAGGCACTGTGCCTCTACACACACAGTGGTAGACTCTTGGTAGAGCATCGTTGGCAGTAACAAAGCTACGCCAAATCGCATCAGTGGGGAATATGGTCCATAGGACCTAAGTTACACTGGAAGATAATAATGATTTCTCTCTCAAGCGCTGTTCTCTGAATTCAGCCATTAAAACATGGGAAGCAATTACCATCTCAATATTACATATTGAAATTTAAAACATCATAAAAACAGTATGTTAAGCATATAATTTTAAACTTAATAGGATTGGCATTTGCCTGCATGGTGGTGAAGCAATTCAGATTCTGCGTAATACGGATAAATCCAGATTTCACTGAGTTTGTGTACCTACGTCAAGCCTGCCATCAGCACCAAGGTTTTTGTGTAGCCCTCGTCCCTTCTGTCACATCGAGATTTCAAGCCACACGGTGCAGTTCTCATGTATCTGAAAAGGTATTTTAAACTCCTACTGAAGCTAATAGGAATTCAGCCAGCTTATGGAAGGTAGGACTAGGCTTCAAACAGACCCTAGGACTGGGACTATTGCACTCTCCATCTCAAAAGCAAGCTGGACACAAATTCAGACTGGATGAGGAAACCTTCCCCTCTTCATGTTCTTATTCTTTTACTTGGCACTGAGCGTTTTTTAGAATAAAGCCCGTTTTCTTGCCGGCAGGCAGCTCCATTCAGATGGCCGATGGTTTCATTTGCACCTTCTGGTTGAGAAGTCCCTTCAGTTGCCTGAAACAGAACGGAAATGTCGGTGAAGGCACACGCATGTCTCCCAACAGGCAGCTGTTGGACTTGGTTCCCATTAGGTAGCTCTGCCTGACGCTCTTGTTTTAGCAGCATAATTCTTAGCTTTGCAAGAAATTGAAATGAACGTGTACAGATGTCTGTACGAGGAGGCTCACACCCCAAATCTAGTGTTGTCTAGATAGCCAGTAATCCATAGGGTCTCTGCCTTAATTACTACATCCCTAGATGGCTCAGCTTTTGCCTTCCCACCCTTCGCAGCATCACTGGAAAACTCACTAAGGGACAGCTCAGTGAGCTTTCCTATAACCCCGTGGGTGACGTGACTTTAAGGGTGTGAGAAATCACGTATGATTTATCCAGAGCTGGGGCTGCAACCTAAGAAATCCTAATTTGGATGCATGTCAGCCGGTCGTACTCAGAGCTACGGTGGCAATGAAATCCTTAGAACTCTCTGAAAACTTGGACACCTTCCAGGCTGAAGGCTTGCTTAGAAAGCCAAATATCCATCCGTAGTGTATGACTTGCAACTAGCAAAACTGGTGACTGCTGAGCTCACAAGTACATGCAGCCCAAAGTCTGGTTGGTTCTTGTTTACACACAAGGCGAGGGGCTTGTCTACAACCTGCTTCTCATTGTAGGTCTGTATTACTCAGATCTTTTTAGTTTGGCCCCAGTAACACAATCCTCTCAGGTTTCTAGTAGCGGGTTACGGTCTGAGCTCAGTTTCAAGGCACAGAACCACTCACACCACCAAAACTGAAGGCATGCTCTACCAAAGTAACTGATACTTGCTTTGCCAAACACCTGTCTGAGCAAGAGTTCCAAAAGAAAGTATTCAAAACGTACTTTTCTTTTACACTGTGCATTTGTAGCTGTGTTATTTTCTGTCTTCAATCCAGTTGCTTCTTCCATTTCTAAAAAAATTGAGTGAAATAATCAAATTAAAAAGAACCAGGGCTAAGAAAGTACACAGTCAATTTAACAGCTGGCTGAAGTAAAAAAAATACCTAATTGGCTATTTCTCTGGGCATTTATCCCACAGAAGAATAACTGAAGAATGATGAATACTTCCTAAAACAATTTTCTGAGACAATGCGATTAATGTGTTCGGACTGTGTAACTTGAGGGTGTTTAGACAAAAGAATGAAATTAGCAGCTTGACTAATGCATGGGGATTCAGACAGACCTTCCAAAGCCGAATTCTGCCTTTATCCAGCAGGTTTGTGGCAGTATAACTCCAGTTGTTACAGTCTCAGGAGATGGGAGCATTCAATGTGGAATGGGCTTGGAGAGTCCTTACATTATTTTCTCCTAGGTTGGTCCCCAGGTAAAAGATAAATAGAGCCTGAAAACCTTTGAGCCAAATCTGAGCGAGACTATCGTGTTCCAGTACATCAGTTAAAAAAAAAAAAAAAACCACACCAAAAAAACCCCAACAAACCAACAAAACAAAAAAAGAAAGGTGGAGAACATTATGGAAAGTTTCAGTGTTTCAGCTGTGTCGTTCAGGCCTGTGCTGAATTAATATATTCGCTCTTTAATATGCACGATATGTGACCAGAAATGAGTGGTAACACTGAGTCTGTGAGAGAAAGAATCAAGAGCAGGATTTTGCCTAAAAGTTTGGATGAAGTATGTATGGGGATTTTTATATATTTGCAATAATTGGTATTAAGAACAGCAGTTTGGACAAGCAGTAAGACATGTAATTGATTTACTTTCCCTTGCACGTAATGGCCCAGATTCTGGTGGCTGGGTCACCATAACAGGTCATCTGGAAATGACCAGAGTATTCCTGTGAGCAGTGAAGCCTATGTACCTGTGAGAAGAGCATCAATTGTCTCCACTACGTGTTTCGCATCTTCGGCTGTGAAACACATTGGTGGTTTAAATTTCAGAATATTTCTGTGGGGTCCATCTGCACTAAGAAGGATTCGATGCTCTTTCAGCCTGTGGAAAGAGGAAACATCTGTGTCCAACACAGGTGTGAAACTATACGGTGTCCTGTCAGATCCTTCAGGCTGAGTTAGATGTCAAAAGTTTTCTTTTTTCTAGCACTATGTTATCAAAGTCTACATGAATTTAAACCAAAATTAATGACTAACTGCAGGGGATTATTAGGAGGGTTTGATCATTGCACAGTCTTTAAAAAACATTTACTTGTAAATAAGGTGAAGGGCTTCAGCTGTGGCTGGTGTTCGCTTTTGTTGATCTTTCACCAGATCCACTCCAACAAACAATCCAACACCCCTGGAGTAGAGAAAAAAACCACACAGACAAGTGAAATATGGTGTCAGCAAGCCAAGCCGCCTGCTGCAAATGCAAAACCTGTTTCTAACCACTGCAATTCCCTTCCCTAGGGCACAACGGGGAAGGAGCAGGAAAGAGAGGAGACTTTGACTTTCTCTTCAGTCGAAGGAGCAGGAAAGAGAGGAGACTTTCTCTTCAGTCATCTTTTGGCACTGGCTACTTCAGACGATCGAGTGGGATAATAGATATTTCTGAATAAATACATTTAGTTGGCTCATAAAGACTACATGGTCAGTTAAGAATAATAGAATAATTTTCTTTATTATACAATTGTAGAATTGTTCTGGTTGGAAAAGACCTTTAAGATCATCGAGGCCTGCAAGCCTGAAGCCAGGGATCTCTGGAAGACAGATAACCAAACCCAAGAACTAAGAAAACCCTACAGCCCAACCCACCCCAAAAACCCCGACAGCAGTTATCATGGTAGTAACATGCGATGAGGCAAACCCACACGGACATCTCCAAGTGAAACTCAGAGATTTGAACAAGGTCTCCATCATCCCAACGGTGTGCTGACAACTGGGCGATGGCAACCGGATGGCTCTTTCTCCCACTCTCTCCCAGAGCTTTCCCAGTGCCTAC